CATATGTTCATATGAGCTAGTGGGCTAATCCCAGCTTTTTCCATATATATATATATATATATATATAATATAATGTTAACATTTCAGGCAAATATTTTTTAAGGGAAGAAGAAACAACCAAGATCAGAAATTAAGTTATCAAAAACGAAAAACCAATATCTGACATTGTCAAGTACTTCCCATATTGCCACAGGGATCCTGATTAGCTGCAACGAGAAAAAGGAGGGATGAGCCTCCAGGGAAATAATCGGATCTTGTGAGTTACATTAGCAACTGTTCCCCTAAGACACCTAGCAAAAAGATTAAAGAGAGACAAAACTTAAAAGCAGATGACTAAAAGGAAATTGCACAGTGCACAAACCTTGAGTGTCTCAATCACCGCAAGTGCAAGTCCTTTTCTGTACAATGCGTCTGCTAATTGGTCTCGAGTTGTCTCCATTTTCTTTTTAATTTTCTACAAAATGAAAACCCAAAATTCATCTGGTAAGGAAACAATTTTCCCCTTCCCTCTCTATCTCTCTCTCTCTCTCTCCCTTGCAACACACATATCAACAAAATATCATCGGAGTTCAAAAAACTTAAAAATGCTTCTAAGCAGGTGTCATGTGGACCTCTGCATCCTCATCTTCAGGTTCAATCTTCTCTAAAAGGTATTTGGCTAACTCATCCTTGTTGACACTATCAATAACCTCATTGGCTGCAGCTACAATCTGCAACATTCACAGGATAACTCATAAATATGAAAGCAAAAGGAATTTCAAATTTTAAAGAAAACTGAAGATTAAGAGATGCCCTAATCCTTTCAATCTGGTTAAAGATTATATAAAAATTCAAGAAATGCACACGAAAATTTGGTTTTTCATCATAGACCCGTTCAGGTGTCCTAATCCTAATCCTTTAGAGATGTCCTAATTCCCTTTTATCCAATGGACAATAGAAAACCTATGTCCGGTTTAAGGGCGTCCCTCTCTTTCTCCATCTAAGTTCATTACTCTTTCTCCATCACATCCATTATTTCAATGGATAGTGATGATCGTAAAAACTATGGCTTTACATAAAAGGAAACCTTTCTATGTGGTTTACCGACATAAAAATATGTATGTGACTTGACATAAAGGAAACGTTTATATTCGGCATTACCGACAAAAAATGTGACTACAATTCTCAGCCTTCCGATTTGAATGGACTGTTGAGATAGCTTCAGCCATAATGACACAAGTTAACCTCTGATCATCTCTTTTAATCGAACAACTCAAAACAAGATTTAAAAAATAGTCGATCTGGATCATAATCGGCTGATCAAAATCAAGAATCGTCCTACCCGAACTGGTTCCCTCAATGTATCGGGAACCGACCGTTTCACCCCTAGAATTGGTGATTCCACTGTAGCGGATCGCCGAGGCCCACTTTTCAAGTTTCACGGGATTTTATTGTTTGGTCAATTTTTTATCCACTCGCAACACTTTTTGGAGAATTATTGCTCTCAAATAAATGAAAAATGGTTATAAAACGTATAATCAATCAATTATGAGTAACAATCTAAGATTTGTGGATTAAAAAAAGGGGTTTTTTGAAGGTTTTGTACAAATCTGCGTTCCTAGAGATTTTAGCATCGATTTGTAACCAAATTTTCGGAAATTTGTATCTATTTGAAGATAATTGAATCCTATACAGTATTCTTGCTCGATTAAACTAGGATTCCCCATCGATTTTGCTTCCGAAGGCATGAAACTGAAAAGTTCCTGAAATTTCAACAGTCAACTAAAATTGAAGACAACGTGCTGATTTGGGTCGATCTTGATCCAATTTCAATGGGTTTTATGATCTATAGAGATTTAGTTCTCATATAAATCAGGTATATTTAATTTTCACTTCGTATTTGTTTTCTTATCAATTTTATTTTGCATGAATGTACCGCAGATTTTAAATTTCCACCATACCCCACAAGTTTGAATCAAATTTCTTGAAATTTGATTCAAAATGATCGTAGTGAACCTGTATTCCATATTACAGATCCAATACAATAGATAGAAATTAAAATAAAAAATAAAAAAAGCATCAATTTTGGGCCATTTAATGCGAACAGGTTTTGGGGATTTTGAGAAATCGTGTTCTAAAAATAATTTTGTAATAAATTTGGGGCTCATGATGCATATAGTTTATTTATGCATATGGTGTGTGATTTAATATTTTTTTTAATTTTCTGAATTTTGATATCGTTATTTTCCATTTTTTAAGAGAAAAATCTTTTTTGAAGTTTTTTTTATGCCATAACATTGAAATTTATAAAGGGTTATATTTTTAGTTTTAATCATATGATATGAAAATGTTTTCTAATATTTTTTAATTATGTTTATATTATAATTAATAGTTATACATTGATATAAATTGAGAACCAGATCTTGTATTGTATTTATTGATGGAAAAACTATATAAGGTTGCAACCTTAAAATGTAGAACTACAGATGCACCTAAAAAATCCATTGGAAAAGGTTGCTTTAATGTTGCAAAACCCTCTAATTGATCATCTCGACATCGAGTTGTATGACTATGAAAAAAAGATGAAATTTGAGTCTCACAAATCGTGCATCTTACAACACATTATCTTGATGTGATACTAATTTCAGTTTATAGGACATATTATTTTTTAATCTTATAATATGGAAGTATTTTTTAATACTTTTTTAAATCATTTTGACAAAATATTATAATAATGAATTATAATTAATAATTACACAAGCATCCAAAGAGGGAAACAACATCTCAGTAGTCAAGTATTTTTTTAAATAATGAAAGTACATAATGTAACACCCCCAATTTTTTTTGAAACTTAAAAAATACTATTTTTAGAAAATTGTAGTGATTTTTTTAATTTGTTTTAGGCCAGAACCGATACATTTTTTTAAACCTTGGCTTTGAATATTTATTTTTAGTCCTTTTTACAAATCATAGTGAGATGAAATTTGAGGGTCCCCCCTTTTCACTAGCAGGCGCCAAATAAAAAAAAGAAAAATAACTCCAATAATAAAAATGCCTGTGTAACTTACAGGGATTTTTGGTTATTTCATTTTATGAACAAGATATACACATTTTTCAATGGGTAAGCCCATGCAAAGAGGGGGCATGCCCCCAAAAAAAAATTATAAGTAAAACCATGTAAAGCGTGACATTCTGATTGAAGCTTGCTCAGCCATCCATCTAGATTGGATGGCTCAGAATAGGAGTCACATATGTTTTATATGTCACTGGTGCCACATAAAAAGGTTTTCTTTTACATAAACTAGTGAGTTATGATATACTTTTTTTTATTTGGTGAAATGAGGTATACTTTCTATGATAAAATACTGATCATCCTTATTGAATTTTATAAACAAGTTCACTTTTGAACTTAAAAGAACGTCTATCGTAAGTGCAAATCATGGAAACCAGTTCCAAATTTTCAAATATAATTGCTTTTGTACTTCCATACAACAGCATGCTTAACAAGGAATCAAGATATTACTCACTTGCTACAAATAAATATGTGGAGAATAAGATTAACCGAAAAAAATCGTAAATTCTCACCAGAGTTACTGGGATTACCTCTTGGTTATGGGTCATCTTATCATCAGAATCCTTAGAAAGAAAACCCTCCAATATTTTTGCAAGTAGTGGCGTGTACTTCGGATATTCTGACTGCAAGAAAAGTTAAGAGAATTGTGATGCATGCAAAAAAATGTATTAGTTGAAGGAATCAACCCTTGCCTTTCCCTAAATATTTCACAATCAGTCTAACAGTCAAACAAAGTATTAAATAACTTTAGATGGCCGGTCTCAGTCAACCAAAGTATTAAATAACTTCCGATGGCCTCTCTCTCTCTCTCTCTCTCTCTCTCTCTCTCTCTCTCCACGCACACACACATTCGCATCATGTTCAGGCACAAGCATGCACACGTGCACATCAGCACTGCTTGGCATAAACCTTAAAACCCAAAACCCAAACGCCAACCCTAAATAATCAACACATGTAAAAAAAAAAAACAACCTTTCACACCAATAATTTGTCCACAATTACTGCCATAATCCACATTCAAAACAAAACTTCACCTTGAGAGAGCCAGAAAATTCTTTCCATTTCAGCCGCTCTTCTTCGGTTCCCTGCGGAAGACCTGAAAGGAACTTTATCTTGGTTTCCCGAATCTGCCCATGACAAGAGGGAGTTCTTTAGAGAACAAATTATGAATTGTGAATTTGAGTATCATAGTAATAAAAGAAGCAAAACATATTTTCCTGTTTGCACTTATATATCTGTCTTTTACATCGTCAGATGTATATTTCTTTTGTCTTTATGTTCTGTGAAAGAGTAGAAAGGAATATCAAAGAAAAGTCACTTCATAAATAAGGAAATTTGTTGCCACTTTCCCTTTAATGTACTGTTCATAGGCTATAGAGGCTTCATTATTTTACCTTTTTGTCAACTAAAGGGATTCCTTATTGCAGTACTTGAGAATCATTAAGGAAACTTGCTTTCAGTTCACAAGGACATATTTCAAGTCTAAAAATTATGATCAAATAGAATAGTTTTGCAAAGTTAATATACAGAGCTTGAATATTAATAGTTGTGAATCTTTCATTACAAAAGTACCTCGTCATCAAGGCCTTCAGGAAGGCTTTTCTTGGAACTGGAACTATCCTTCCCCTTTTCTTTTTCATCAATCTGCCAAGAATCATGCATTGCAGGAAGAGAAAAAAGAATATTGGATTTATGAGAGCTATATTTTATAGTTATTGCACATGTTACAACTGTTAAGGAAAAAAATTGTAAGGAAAGAAAGAAAAAAAACAGATTTAGGGGAAAAGAAATTCGGCACATGAGTTTTAGACACAAGGGTCATATTGAGGGAACTAAACTTATTCTTATTTCAGATAGACAGTGAAAAGATTCGTAAAGTTTAGGTAAAGTTGCACAATATGCAGGTCACACTTAATAAGCAGAGGCATTTTTTAGAAATTTGAGTGTTTAGGGGATTTTGAAGAAAAATTGGAGAAAACGTACAAAACAAATAAATATGAAAACATAATGTAAGAACATATATGGTCTAAAAGGGTGAAGACCTTAAACTTTCCCTTAACTTGTCCCAAGCCCGGGTATAAGAAGTGGGTTGCATTAGGTAAGCAGCCAGCATAAATTTTTGCCACATCTTATCATGAATCCTGAACCTAGATAGAGGAATAGGATTCATGTAGCCAACCCCAATTAATTGGGATAAGGCTTGGATGATGATGATGAATATAAGAAAATATACACTCTTTCCACATGAACTGATAGAAAGTAGAAAACCATGGGATAATTTCTCTAAGACGTACAATTGAACTAACATAATGAGGCTTTTTATGAAGAACAAGGTTTTGGCCAATCTAGGAAAAGTGAATAAATGTTGAAAAATGAAGATTGAAAATAAAAGAGCACTCTTTAAAAGAACGGACCATCAAATTCAGAGACATTATTTAATGATGTAATTAGGTCCTGCAAAAATATTCATAGAAAATGGAAGGAGGGGAAACAAGGGAATATTCTACAATGCATTTCAAGTTAGATGTCAAATTTTGAATAACAGCACCCATGCATAAAAAACAAATATACCCAAGAAATGAAAGAAATCAATAACTCCTAATGATGTCAAAGTCACTATTGAACAATTGATCTTTCCTAACCTTAGGAGGAGGTACTATATAAGAAATTCGATAAGTTACAGGGCATGCTTGTGAATTTTGCCCCCCTTTCCTGAGCCCAAGTGAGAGTTTTCCATAGCAAATTGAACCCACTAGCACGGAACCTGTCACACAACCCTAAAACAAATCTCGAAAGAGGTTAACATAGACCAACAAATTCTTTGTTACATATTACAAAAGTTAGTGGAGATGGTTTACCTTTGGAAGCTTATCTTTAGATGGTGGGGCCACATAAAAGGCTTCTGTTTTCCTGCAAAAAAACAAATGCATGAATAATATTTTATCTGCTAAAAACATTTTATAGGCTCCAAGTAATTATGGGAGGCTGCATGGGGAAAGTAAACCATGAACCGATGGATTATGTTAAAAACTACTCCATAGGGCATCCACTGTCCATTCCCGGTAAAAGGTGGAGATTAATTGACCTCAGTGAATGTCCTAACCTGATCATGTTAATCTCCACCATCCATAATCCGGAGCAGACAGTTGATATAGTGGCTTACACCACAAATGGATTCTGCCCTTTGGAGTAGCTTACACCATAATCTAGTCGCTTATGATAACTATAATATACTTTCTCTGTATTTGTATGATATACATTCTCTGTAATATAACCAGGAACATACCCTGGAACCAGAATTGAATTTTTAAAGACGCCATTCCCCATTAAAGGACCATCCGGTTGTGAGAAGCAGCTCAATTTCATAAAGTCCTGATCTCCAAACAAAATATATGCTAGTAAGATATATTATGGTCAGTTCAATCTATTTTATCTATGATGGAAAGAGAGCATAGACTGTGTAACTAGTATAGTTGTCTTTGGATACTTGAAAAATTCAGCAACACTCAATTTGAGTAATAAAAGTAAACAAAAAAAAGAAGAAATAAATTCACAAAGAACCTACTACTACTACTACATTCTTGGTCCCTGTGAAGCATAAAGAGGAGATGGAGGCAACTCTGCGACAGCCCCTTTCTCAGTCCTCATGGTTTGAGTGAAACATTGTTTAGAGGAGGAGCTATCAGAAGAAAGAATAAAAACCAAGAGGAAAGGCAACTCCCTCCGTATAAATCCACGGAGACCAGTCAATGCATCCCAAGAGGAAAGGCACCTTCCCTGTGATGCATATTGTGTGTGTGTGTGTGTGTGGGGTAGGGGGGGAGGGGGGAGGGGGGAGGCATAGTAAGGGAGGGTCTCTACTCTACGACGTCCTCTAGTTGGTTAGAGTGCAACTAGTTTAGTTAGGAGGGAGGAC